GGCAGCGGGGACCGGCGCGCCCGAAGTGGGCGGGGCGGGAACTCTTCGCGCGTCCGAACCTGGGATTCTCCGGCCGGTGGGTGGCACCCCTGCGTGGGGCAGTTTCTCCCCCAATCCGAGCCCGCGGCGCGACAGCATCTTCTGGTCCCCTGCAGCTTCGTGCACCGCCCAGGGCTACTGCGTCAGACCCAGCGGTGCCAACTCCGACCCTCTGGATCTCTGCAAGCTGACCACAGAGCTCAGAGACCAGTTTTCCTCCTTCAAAATAAAGGATTTTTAAAAAGTTATTGCAGATCTTTGCTTCTCGTTGGAATATTTGATTGCTGTTTCCTCCTGATCCTGGCACGTTGTCAGGAAGGGCCCCAAAGCCTCCATCCACCTGTGCCACGTGGCAGAGGCTTAGGCACTCCTTGTTGGTCACTAGTCGAGGCAACTTATTTGACTGGACCCTCGTGTTTATCTCATGTGTTCCCTCTTCCTCTCACCTTGCTCCAAAAACCAGGCAAAACCCACAGTCTGTAAAGAGCCTATCATTAGTGACAAGAGTTAGGTAAACAGGTCATAGATTAATATTGCTACTCTCCTTCTATCTTTGTGGAAAAACAGAAAAATGGTGGATAATATCCGCAACCCTAATTGGCTCTAGTCAGTAATGGAGTCTCACTGTTAGCTGCCCATCTTACTACACTCCCTTGGAATTATACTAGCAATCTACAAAGTACATTTCTACATAACTTCAGGAAAAAGTATTTTCTTTGTTTTTGAGAAAGATTCTCACTAAGTTGAACCCAAACTCCTGGGCTAAGTGATCCTCCTACCTCACCCTGAGGAGTACCTGGGACTACAGACACTGCCTAGCACCAGGGGGGCTCAAAAAGAGTGGTATGAATCCATAGAGATAGGCTGATATTTGTGAAGCACTAGGAACAGTGTTTAAAGTCATTATAGGGTCGTCGTGTATGTTTTGATTTAAAATAATGATTTTCAGTGTCAATGGCATGGTACTGAAAGCCCCCACATCATTTCATTAGGAGCTCTCTAAGTATAGCACAGCCTTCTTTACTGTTAACACCTCTGTCAGAGATCGTGCACTTCTCACAGAGGAAGGCTTGGTGTCAAAGTCCACCTGCTTTGCTTTTGGCACCAGATGAGAATTGGAACTGTGCCACTTCATTTACTGTGTGATGTACTACAAACTTCTTCACTTGTTTGGAGATTATAAACCTTATTTTCTGTTAAATAAAAATAATGGGTGGCTATTGTTTTGGACTAATTTCTTATGCTAGGCCCCAACAGACCAGGCTACAAGTTGAAACAGAGTCACGGCCACTAGCATTCCATGTCATTAAGTTGGACATCATGTTTTATCTGATTTCGCAAAAAAACTAGAATTAAAGAGACAGCCAAATTTCTTCAACAGGCCAATTTCAAAGGGTGTGAGAATGAGGCTCTTTCTTCCTTAATCCTTAGCAAAATATAAGCTGAAGTAAACTACTATAACTAGTCAGTTATTTTTCTATTATTGTGTCTCTTTATCCCTAACATACAAGAAAAGTGACTTTGACATGGCTGATCCACTTTTTGTTTCTTGTTTCTATTCCTTCAGCCCTTTTCTGTCTATTGAATACATTCTATTTTAGGAATGAAATATTGTGCCATCCTAGAATTGCGAATAAAACCAATTAAGAGCTTCAAACTAAGTTGTTGGATTTTGTCCTTTGACAATTCTTGTCAAAGTACTCTCCACTGGTGTTAAAAATATGATTGTAGGATTTTTTTTTTTAAATCTCAATTTTGACATTGAAATAGAACTCATGAGTAGACTGTAGAGATACTCTATCTGGGCAACACAGAGAGCCAACAGAGGGTTAATTTTACCCAGGAGATTCTTAGCACTGTGCTCTGTTCAATAGTCTCATTCAGCAGGTTTTGCCTTCAGAAAGACAATAGGAATCCCTCAATGACAAGGCCAATGAGAAAGGGACTTCTCAGCAAAATGGGTCAGTGCAAACTAGGAAAAAATTTATGCTCAAAATCGCACACACATACACAGTAAAATGGGCTCAATGTTTTAGCAAAAGGTAAATTTTAGATCAGAGCTTATGCCATAGGCCCAAAGGAACTGTGAGAGATATGCTCTCTTGATTATAACCAAGGAACAGTTGAGCCAAGATTCCAAAGACCATTAAGGAAAGGAGATGTTAGTGTTAGCCCCCAGAGAGTGCCATCTCAGGTTAAAGTTGACTACTCAGGCCCCAGTCCTGCACCACTGGCACAGAAAGAACAAAAATCACTCCAGCAGATGTGGATTTGGATTCTGACTCTACTTCCTGCTAGCTGTTATTCTGGGAAGAGAGTGCTCGTCCACTCTGAGCTTCAGTATCTTCATCTTCAAAATAAGTATTTTGCGATGGATAGATGCAAACTTCTTTGTTAAGTGTGAAAAAATATATGACCCAGCAGTGGTGGTGCACCCCTATAATCCCAGTTCTCAGGAGGCTGAGGCAAGAGGATTGCTGAGTACAAAGTGCTGGACTACAAAGTGAGATTAAGGCCAGCCTGAATTGCATAGCAAGACCTTGTCTCAAAAAAACAACGAAAATATAAAATTTACAATATACATATATGGACAGAATAGAGTCCAGAAATAGACCCATACAAATGGACTCAGATCTTTGATAGTGGGGCAAAGGAAATTCAATGGAAAGAGGATAGTGTCCTCAATAAATGATTCTGGAATAACCACATCCACATATGAAAAAACAAATCTAGACATAGACCTTATAACATACCTTGCACAAAGAAGAAATCAAAATAGACCATACACCTTAATATAAAAAACTATAAATCTCCTACAAGACAATATGGATAAAATCTAGGTGATCTTGGATTTCTGTTTTCTTTCTTTTTCTTTTTTTTTTTTTTTTTTTTTTTTGTTATGGCCCTTGCAATTGCAAGGCAGGTGGCAGAACCACTGAGACAAATCCCTGGCCCCGGATTTCTGTTTCCATTGCAGTGTTCTGTGCAAGTACTCTACACCTTTTGTCCTGATGATGACCTTTTATATGACACCAAAAACATAAGCCTTGAAAGAAACAATTAATAAATTGGACTGTTTTGGTGATACTCAAAATTGATCCCAGAGACTTTGCACTGAGCTACATCCCCAGCTCTTTTTAATTTTTTTTTTAATTTCGAGACAAAGTCTCACTAAGCCACTAAATTACTCAGATTGAGCTCAAACTTTTTATCTTCCTGCCTTAGGCTCCCAAAGTGCTGGGATTCCAGGCATGTGCCAGCATACCTGGTTGATAAATTTGACTCTGTTAAAATTAAAGGCCTCTCCTGAAAACACACAGTCATGAGAATGAAAAGACAAGCCACAGACTGTGACAAAAATCTTTGCAAACCATGTATCTGATAAAGGACTAGTATCCAATATACACAAAGAACTCAGCAATAACAAACACCTGAGGATACAGGAAAAAAGCAAACTTTCTCCTACTGTCCCTCAACAATTAACACAGAAGACTTCTATGACTAAATATGTGATATTTTCTTTGCCTACACACGAAACACTCAATTCTGCACTTTCATGACCTCTAATCCAATTAGGTCCTGACACTATCTTCATGGAGAAAAGGCCAGATACTATCAATATAGGGCTCAGTCCCCATGACTGACTTCTTCCCCTGCACTTGCCTCCTATGCCAACCTCAAGCCTAGGTGAATCAGGGTTTCTACAGCCCTGTTGATTTCAATTAATTTGCCTGAGCAGCTCACAGACCTCAGGGAAACATTTTTCTCTACTGATTTATTATAAAGAACATTACAAAAACAGAAAACGACCAGATGGAAGAGATGCATAAGTTTAGGTATGTGAGATGTAGTGTGGAACTTATATGCTCTCTAGATGAGCCAGCCTCCAGAACCTCCACATGTTCAGCTGACCAGAAGCTTCCCTTTCTTAAAATGTTTATGAAGCTTCATTACATAGGAGTGATTAATTAAATCACTGCTCATTGGTGAATAGCTCAGCCTATAGACACTCTCCCTGCCCTTGAGGTCAACCCTTTTAATCCTGCTTTGGTCTTTCTGGTGACCTGCCCCACGCTAAAGTCACCAAGACCTGCCAGCCACAACCCATCTCTTTGGCGTATAAGCAACATCACTTTCAAATTTCCTAGGATTGTAGGAGTTGTATGAGATGAAGACTTAATACTTTTTACCATCTCACAAAACCCAATTAACAAATAGGCAGATAATCTGAACAGACATCTCACAAAAGACAATATACAGATGACAAATTAATTACACAACAAGTATACTGAGCATCATATGCTGATGGGAATTGCAAATCAAAACAACAATGAAGTATAAACACACACCTAACAAATGACTAAAATCCAAAGCAATGACAACACAAAATGCTGGTGAGAATATGGAGCAACAGGAATTGCTGTTGGAAATAAAAAGTGGTGAGGATATTCCCAGCATTCATTGCTGATATGAATATAAAATAGTATAGCCAAAGTTCCTTCCAAAAAACATTTTGGCAGTTTCTTGCAAAATGGAACACAATCTTACCATTACATTCCTTGATGTTTACCCAAGTGAGTTGAAAACACAAAAACCTGCTGCTATAGTTTAGATGTGGCTGGGCTTCAAAGGTCTATGTAGTAGGGGCTTGTTCTTCAGCTTGGTGCTACTGGAAGGTGATGGAACATTTAAGAGGTGAGTGTCTAGTGGAAGGAAGTTAGGGCATTGAGGGTGTACAATAAATGGAATATTGGGACCCTGGACTTTTCTCATTTGTTTCTTGGCCACCATGAGGTGAGCAAGCCTTCTCTGCCATGCACTTCCACCATGATGAACTGGCTCAAAGCAGCAGTACCCATAGACTATGGATAAAACTTTTTTCAAAAAGTGAACCCAAATAACCTTTTTCTGTATTAAGTTTACTATCTCAGGTACTTTGTTACAGTAATGCAAAGCTGGCTAACACATTTGTACATGAATGTTTATAGCAGTTTTATGCAGAAGTGCCCAAACTGAGAAGTAAATATGATGTTATTCAATAGGTGAATGGATAAACAAATTGTAGTACATCCATACAATGAACTAGTATTCAGCAATAGAAAGAAATTAGACATTTAATCATGAAAATATAGAGGGACCATAGAGACTGTTAAATGAAATAAGGCAATCTGAAAAAGTTTCATATTTTATTATT